CTTTTTAAGTTAATGTGACTGAAATTATCCATTTTGCACCTAACTTTGCTCTCTATCTATTCTTTATTCATAAATTGTTCACTTCTCCATAAGTCTGATAAGTAACATGTTCTATGTTCTTCTAATTTTCATGTAATATTGCTCCTTATATCTGGGTCATGTATCCATTTTGACCTTATCTTGGTAAATGGTGTAAGATATTGGTCTACATATGTCTATATTGGTCTACCAATATAGACCTTTATTTCATCAAAGCTTCACAGGCCTGAGGTTAGCAAGGAGCTAAACAAAGGGCGCTGATATAGGAAAAGACCAAGGCTTATATAGACAGAAAATATTACAGCCTGTAGGAAGATGGTGTATTTTTAGGGTTTCTTGTGGGGGTTGGAGATTAGGGACAGGATAAGGAAGATGAATGATAGGATAGGGAACACAGGACAAGGAAGACAAAGGCAATTCTTTTGGTACAAGTTGTATGGCACTCAATTCCTTCCCCTGCCTATGTCTTTCAAAGCTTCCTTTCACCTTGGAGTCCTTAGCTGCTGAGTCTAGTTCTAGGAGGCTGACGTGTATTTGAGACACCTCTCTTTTCCAGAGCTCATGTCTCCACTCATTCTTTCATTTGACATTCACTAAGTGCCAATTTAATTCAACAGACACTTATTAGGTAACTTACATGCTAGGCACTGTGCTAGATATTGGGAAATATAAAGGAAAAAATGAAACTGTTCCTAGCCTTGGGAGCTTACGTTTCCCATGACTGGATCATGTCTAGGAGTGCCTTTGAGCTCATTGAACATGAAGCTGTATGTTGATTTAGCGCAGAGCATCTTCATAGAATCACAGATTTAAAGTAGAGGAAACCTCAGAGGACATCTATTCTAATCTTCCTCTTTTTATGGGTGAGGAAGCAATGTTCTAGGGAGGCTGTTATTTTTTGCCAATCACACAGGTGGTAGGTAGCAGGGCCAATATTTAGACCTAGGTTCTCTGACCCCCAAACCAGTACACTTTCCATTGTACCAGACTTCTTCTTTGTCAAGTTCTTTACAGAATTTCTCTTCATCCTTTGCAAAAGCTTGGTGGCAAATACCAGTAACCTCAGGTATCAAGGAGGTTGAGGCTGGCAGATCTCTTGAGCTCAGGAGTTCTGAGCTGCAGTGGGTTAAGCCAATCAGGTGTCTGCATTAAATTCAGCATCAATATGGTGAGCCTGGGAGTGGGACGCCAGTAGGTTTCATAAGGAAGATCAATCCAGTACAGGTCAGAGATGGAGCAGGTTAAAACTCCCATGTGGATTAATAGTGGGATTAGGCCCATGAGTAGCCCCTACATTTCTAGCCTGAGTAAGGCCCAGTGTTTAAAAAAAGGGAAAGGGCAGCTAGGTGGCACAGTAGATAGAGCACCAGCCCTGGATTCAGGAGGACCTGAGTTCAAATCCGGCCTCAGACACATAACACTTACTAGCTGTGTGACCCTGGGCAAGTCACTTAACCCCATTGCCTAGCCAAAAAAAAAAAAAAGGGAAAAGCTTGCAAATAAACTGAGGTCAACTTCATGATGACCTGTTTGCTTATTTTTATCTTTGGATACTGCAAGAAACAATGGTCAAATGTTTAATGACTGTTTTTTAAAAACATATTTGTTTTTTATAAAATTATTTGTTATTAATATATTTTCTTTTTGTATCACCTAAACTTGCAAGTTTAGGTGATACAAAAAGAAAATATAAACATTGCTGTTACCAAGCACAATGATTTCCCAGTTCTTCTCACTTCACTTTGCATTACTTCATACAGGTCTTGCCATGTGCATGTCTTTCTTTGATTGAACCCAAGGAGGAAAGAGAGTGAGTTGCCCCCATAGGAATCTTTTATCAACCCAAAAGGTCCATCTTTACCTTGATTTAAGGAGACCAGAAACAGGACCTGTACATGCTCTGAAGTTGACACAAGATTGTATCATGCAAGTACACTGCACATTCTCGTAAGGACTGGGCCCATTGACCAGTCACAGTACCTAGTTACATTTCTATATATACTTGCTCTGTCCCCACATTAAAACAGACCGCCCTTGTGAGTAGGAGCTGTTCCATTCTTTGTATTTATAACCCCAGCACCTAGCACAGTGCCTAGAAACATAGCAGGGGCTTAATAAAAAATTTAATAATTGATTGATTGAATATAGCTAGCCAAGCAAGTGAATTTTTTTGAATAGTTTTAAAATTGAAATATACACAACATTTGGTTTAGTGTTTCAGTCATGTCTGACTCTTTGTGATGCCATTTGGAGTTTTCTTTTTTTTCCCTTTTAAATAGTATTTAATTTTTTCCAATTACACATAAAGACAATTTTTAACATTCCTTTTTATAAAATTTTGAGTTCTAAATTTTCTCCCTCCCTTTTTATGCTCCTACCTCCATAAGATAGTAAGGAATTTGTTATAGGTCATATATGTGCAATCATGTAAAACATATTTCCATGTTAGTGGTGTTGTGAAAGAAGACACATAGAAAAAGAAAAAACACGCAAAAAACTGGAAAAATAGTATGCTTTTATCTGCATTCTGACTCCATCAGTTCATTCTCTGGATGTAGATAGGATTTTTCATCATGAGTCCTTTGGAATTGTCTTGGATCATTGTATTGCTGAGAATAGCTGTCATTCACAGCTGATCATCCTACAATATTGTTATTACTGTGTACAATGTTTTCCTTGTTCTGCTCATTTCACTCTGTACCAGTTCATGTAAATCTTTCCAGGTTTTTCTGAAATCATGATAGCACAATAGTATTCCATTATATTCATATGCCAGAACTTGTTCATTTGGGTTTTCTGGGCAAAGATACTGGAGTGGTTTGCCATTTCCTTCTCCAGCTCATTTTACAGATGAGGATACTGAGGCAAATAGGGTTAACTTGCCCATGGTAAGTATCTGAGGCCATTTTTGAATTCAGGAAGATGAGTCTTCCTGACTTCAGGTTTGGCACTCTATCCACTGTACCACCTACCTGCCACACGCAACATGGCCATCAAATAATAGGTCTCAGCAACAGGCAGTAAACATACCAGCTTTTCAGCAGGTGTCATATTCATTCACTACCAAAAGGAAAAAAGAAGGGAAAGTGAATTAAGTATCTTTTATTTCAACTCAGCAGAAAGTTTTCAATATAAGTCCATTCCTTCTTCTTTATGTAGTACTACTTAATTGATGGCATCATACCTTAATTTCCTATTCATGTTTGATTAATTGTGTTTTTGTATAAATGTGGGGAACAGCAAGGGAGCCAGTTTGGCTGAATTGTAAAGTGCAGCACGAGGGGTAAAGTATAACAAGGCTAGAAAGGCAGGTTGGGGCCAGATTGTGAAGGGTTTTAAATGCCAATCAAAGTCATTTATATTTGATCCTAGAGTTGTTAGGGAGACTCTGGAGTATATTGAGTAATGGGGTGACATGGGTCAGAAATTCACTTTAGGAAAATCAATCTGACAGTTGTGTGGAGGGTGGATCAGAGTAGGGAGAGACCAATTAGGAGGCTATTGCCATAGTCCAAGCAAGAGGTGTGAGGACCTGAAGTAGGATGGTGAAGAGAAGGGGACTATGGGAGACATGGTGTGGAGGCAGAAATGACAATTTGGCACCTATCTGGATATTAGAATGAGTGAAGATGAAGAGTTGAGAATGACACAGGTTGATTGCTTGCATGAGTGGAAGAATGGTGGTGCAGCTGAAAGCAAGAGGGCAGTAAGGAAGAGAGTGGGTTTGGGAGAGTTGATGTAATGAAATGTTCGAGGTAGATCACAATCCATCCATGGCAGCTCATGCTATGAGGATCTCATCCATTAAAACTGAAAAGTAGGTTAGGGATGGGACTCTTACTGATTATTGACCCACAGCACAGAGCTCAGCCTTTAAGGGGCGCCTGCCACAGTCAGGAGATGATTAGGGGCAAGGGCTGGGTCTTCTGGGAGCTTTTCCCAATGGAAGCTTTATTATACTTATCAATTAGAGAAGGGAAGGGAACAAACATTTATATTAAGTGTCTACTGTGTGTCAGACACTGTGCTAAGTAAGGATTTTTCAAATATTATCTCATTTGATATTATCTGATATTATCTGATATTATTCAAATATTATCTCATCCTCATAATAGCCTTGGGAGGAAGGTGCTATTATTATTATTTTTTGTAAATAATATTCCATTTTTTCCAATTACATGTAAAGAGTTTTCAACATTCATTTTTTATAAGATTTTGAGCTCCAAATTTTTCTCCCTCCCTCCCTTCCCTTCCCTCTCCCCAAGACAGCAAGCAATCTGATATAGGTTATGCATGTGTAACCATGTTAAATGTATTTCCATACCATGAGTCATGTTGTGAAAGAAGAAACAGAACAAAAGGGGGAAACCTCAAAAACAAAAACCAGAAAAAGTGAAAATAGCATGCTCTGAGCTGCATTCAGACTCCCTAGTGCTTTCCCTGAACATATCCAGTTTTCCATCATGAGTGAAGGGTGTTATTATACCCACTTCACAGCTGAGTAAACTAAAGAGAATTGTCTGCAGTCATTCAGCTAATCTGAGGTCACATTTGAATTCAGGTCTTCCTGACTTCTAAGCACTCTACCTACTGGACCACATATATGCCTGAGGGCTTTAGTGCTGTTTTAGTAAATGAAAACCTCAGTCTCCCTACACAATCAACTAGTTAGGATTTACTGAGTGCTCAGCACTGTTCACCCAGTCTAGTTGGGGAGAGGAGATGTGGGTTCATGAAGGATAATTAAGCACCCAAGCCAGGGTGTACACGAATATCAGTTGAATGGTACAGACAGAAAGTGCTCACATAGTTAAGAGGAAGGAAAGATCTCTGTGATCCCTGAGGTCATCTAGGATGCCTTGAAGGAGGGACAAAGACTTCCATCCCACAGTGAAGGAGGACGGGGAAGTTTCAACTGCCAGCAGCCAGCCCCGTCCTGATTCAGTGCTACTCTGATTCCCATGGAGAAAGTCCTTGTCTTGCTGGGGTTTGCCCTAGTCTTGGGCCAGGTGTCTTCCAGCCTTCAGAAAACAAATTTGAAACGGAAGGTGAGGTTGTTTCCGTGTCTCATATAAAAAAATTCTGGGGGCCTCAGTTGAGAGTTGGGCTGAGAACAGTTATCCGTTAACTGCGTAGTGGTGTGTGTGTGCTGTACTAGGTCAGCCACGCATAAAACATTTAGGATTCACTCTATAAAAGGACTGGTTCAGAAATAGTCAGTCTGTTGATAAACATTATTAAGAGCCTACTATGTGCCACGCACTGTGGTAAATGCTGGGGATACAAAAAGAAGGAAGACAGTTCCTGCCCTCAAGGAACTCACAAATGAATGGGGGAGCACTAAAGAGGCCTTAGACACCTTGGAGTCCAGGGGTCTTTACTTTTTTCTGTGCCATGGGTTTCTTTGGTAGGTTGGGGAGGCCTATGGCCCCCTTTCAAGGAAAAAAGAGTCATAAATTTCAATTAGAGGTTAGTGAAAATAGAGATGTCATTTCCCTCCAAGTTCATTGGACCTCAGATTAAGAATGCTTGGCCTAGGGGCAGCTAGGTAGCACAATGGATAGAGTACCGGCCCTGGAGTCAGGAGGACCTGAGTTTAAATCTGGCCTCAGACACATAACGCTTACTAGCTGTGTGACCCTGGGCAAGTCACTTAACCCCAATTGCCTAAAAAAAAAAAATCAGTACAAACAGTAAAAGAATTGACTGTGATTTTTTGGGGCAGCTAGGTGGTGCAGTGGATAGAGAACCGACCCTGGAGTCAGGAGGACCGACCTGAGTTCAAATTCGGCCTCAGACACATAACACTCACCAACTGTGTGACTCTGGGCAAGTCACTTAATCCCAATTGCCTCACCAAAAAAAAAAAAAAAAAGAATGCCTACCTAGTCCAAAGTCTTCATTTTATTGAGGAAGGATCTGTGCAGGTAGGCAGTGGTGTGGCCAGAACAGAACCCTGCTGCTCTTCCTGCTACAACCATGCTATTCAGGTGGAGAAAAATGGAACTAGGGCTGGGGAGAGGACAATGTCCCTCAGGGCTTGCTTTTCATTATTTTACATGTTCAAATTCAGAACAAGTTTTTCAAAGGATGTTGCAACCAAAGCACAGGAGGAGAAGTGAGGAATCCAGCCTGTCCCAGATAAGCGACCCAGATAAGTGACTGTTGTAATTCAGTGGCCACTTTCTCCAACTCTGGTCTTTAGCCTTAAGTTTCTAGGTCCAAGGTCAAGGGCGTCCCAGGATATGGTGGGAAAAACTCTAGATGTGGAGTAAGGATAGTGAGTTTGAATCCTGCTTTGGAAACTTATTAGCTGTGTGACTTTGGGCAAATCACTTAACTTTTCTCAGTCTTATTTGCCTTATCTGTAAAATGGGGATAAAAATGGTCAGACTACCTACCACATAGGGTTATTGTCACGAAAATGCTGTATAAACCCCAAAGCAATACACAAAATTTTGTTGTTCACTCATTTCAAGTCATGTCTGATTTGGAGTTTTCTTGGCAAAGATACTGGAGTAGTTTGCCAGTTCCTTCTCTAGCTTATTTTGAACTGAGGCAAACTGGGTGAAATGACTTGCCCAGGGTCACACAGCTAGTAATTGTATGAGGCCAGATTTGAACTCACGAAGATGAGTCTTCTTGACTTCAGCCTGATACTCTATCCACTTCACCACTTAATGACCCAAATACATAAATAGTTTATAATAATAATTGTTTATAATTATAATTATTATAATCCTTTTATTACCTTCGCCTAATATCCAGTTCCCTTTCAAAAAGTGTGTCTATGCATTTCTTCTCCATCATCATTTCTCCCCCATCTTTCCTCTCTTTCCCCACCCTCACGTCAGTCTGTTGGTAGGATTTTGTTGATAGTCATCCCTGACAAGGGTATTCCATGGTAGATCTGTTTTCTGTTTTCCAGCAGCTCAGGGGTGTTGAAGAGAATAGAGTTGGGGCTGGGGCTCACGAAGGGGACAGGGGAAGAGAAAGGTGGAGAGAGCAGGAGGAGGGACTGGATAGAAATAGCCACACATGGAAACCATGCATATAAAGGTAGGAGAAAACCATAAGCCCGTTGTGGTAGGCAGCTCCCTTGACCCCTGTTCCTCCTCCCAGACTCCAGCGGAGCCCCTGGCTCTGGAGGGTAAGGAGAAATATAATCCCTATGTCATTACAGGCTGACGGAGAGGAATGTTACCAGCACTCAGATTGCAGAAGCAAGTGCTGTCTCATAAGCTTGTACTGGAGTATGAACTTTTGTGCTCCCAAAGGAAAAATAGAGATGCTATGTTTACCACAGGTGGGTTACCAGGTAAAATGTCCCAATTCATGAGGCCTGTCTATCTCTGGGGGATAGAACTGGGTCTCCCCTGCTGGGCAGGATCACTGCTAATTGGGAAAAGAAGGTGACTTTCTCTCCTACCCCCTGGTGCTAAAAATAAGCAAATAAACAAAGGAATTATATGCAGACACACACATATATATCCACATGCACCATCAGCCCATAAACTCTGCATCTTCCTCAGTCACCAAAGCAAAGCAGGACAGACAGGACTGTTTTTTTCCAGACTACTCTTTGGGACCTTCCTTTGCCTTTCAAGGCTGCCCTTAATGTTCCTGGTAATAGGAAGTGGGCTGTGTAAAAGGTTGGGTGGGCATACCATGTGATTTTCTGCCTCCCACTCCTTCACTCCTTGCAGCAGCATCTTTAGAACACCCACCCCTAGGAAAAAGCCAGAGACGGTTCTGCTTATGAGGTCGGGGTGCCAACACTCTGCACTGATCTATCAGGGCAGATCTTTGTTGTCTGAAGTGAGACGGAAGCTCAAAGAACTCTTCTTTGTAATGCTTTCACCTCAGAAAAGACAGTGGAGGAAAAGAGAAGAGTAGCAATCACTCCAGCAGGTTGTGTGGGCTTGGCCGTGGCTGGCCCTGCCTCTGAGAAGACAGATTTCTGGCTGCCCAATATGTGACCCCAAACCCCCCTGTCTCCCTCCTGCAGACAACAACAAACACAACCATCCTTTGTCCCTGCCACTGGGGCCTGAGTTGCAGATCTATTGATCACTTCTGTCCCCGCCGGTGCCTGATGTTTTAGAGAATGGAATTCAGTGTCCACGAGCCTCTGGTCCGCACAGAACCTGATGTGGCAGGCCCCTGCCTCCCGTACCTTCCTGCCATCTTCTTCTTCCTCCTCCCTCCCAGCAGGCAGCCCCGCCTCCATCATCTACAATCAGGTTCCTAGCACATTAAAGCTCCTACCTGATGACCTTGCATGGGCCTGACTCGCATCTTTGCCTCTGAGTGGCTATTAGGGCTCTGTTGGGGATGGGACAGGGCCAGGGAGGATGGAAGATGCATCAAAGAGAGAGCTCTGAAGGGACTTAGGAGAACTTGGAAGAAAGCCCAGAGAAAACCCCAAATAGAGTCATGAAGAGTTGGACACAACCGAAACAACTGAACAACAAATAGGCTAACTAGTTTCAGTAGTAACCATTGAAGAAAAAAAAAATATGGTTCAAGGCAGTTATTTTTATGAAAAGCTTTCTCTTTTGTAAAATTTGTTGTATGTGGCTATACTACTATCATGGAATAAAAAAAAAGAACAAGCATATCTCAAATAAAAAGAAATTCTGAGTAAAAAAAATAGTAACAAAATGCAGTGAAGCATAACAAAGCTTTCTCCATGTCTGAAAATGTATGCCTCAACGTGCTCCTATAGGCCACCACCCCTCTGTGGGAGGTATATTTCCCCATCAGGGTTCTGAAGTCAGGAGTGGACATTTGACTATGAGTTTGGAATGGTTCCTTCACATTGTGGCTATCATTTTCTGGTTCTTCCTGAAGACTGTTTCATCTTATTTTAATACACATTTGGTTATGTCTCTGCTCAAAATTCTACAGTGGTTCCCTAAGAGCTAAAGTTCAGACAGTTTAACCTACTGTTCAAGGCCCTCCATGATCTGGCACCTTTCTACCTGTTCACCCTTATCTCCATCTATGCCCTGAATTTCTGCATCATGTTTTTCCTCATTTAATTCCCTATGCCTGTAGATTTTACCCTTCCATCTTTTGAATTCCCATCCACTCTTGAAAGCCCAGATCGAATGTTACCCCATCTAAGAAGACTTCTTTGATCCCTGCCACCCCCCAAACTTGGACCCAGACTATTCCTGTGATTCTGCTATTGTGTATTTCACCCCCAGGAGACCTATTCTTAACATTACAAAGACCAAACATTCTCTGTTCAGTTTCTCCTTGGTTAAGAGAAGAGCCCTGAACAGGAAAGCCTATTGGGAAGTCTGTGAGCTAGGTTAGGCACAAATGCTACCTGGCCTACTGGGACATATTAGACTATAAACTTTTTTTGGTCTTTTTGAGGCTGGATCTCCCTATCTCACTCGGGCTGGAAGTGTAGTGGCCAATCACCAGCCCAATCTCAATACTGATTAGTATGGAAACTTTAACTTGTTTTCAGCTTGGACCAATTCACCTCTCCTTAGGCAGCCAGGTGACCCATTGCTCCCAGGGGGCTCCCCATACTGGTGCCAGACAATGCAAACACCTGATCCACTCTAGTTTGACTGCAGCTTGGAACTCTCAGACTCAAATGGTCTACCAGCATCTGCTTGGCAGTCCCTGAGTAGCAGGACCTACAGGCATGTGCCTCCATGCCCATTAACTGTAAACTTCTTGAGAATAGCTATTGGGTCATTTTCCATCTGTATATCATAGAATATGCCTTAGACTTGAATTCCGAAGATTCAACTTCTGGTTTTGACAATTACCAACTGTGTAGCTTTTTGGGAAAGTTTCTTCTATTTTTCTGAGCCTCAGTTTCCTCATTTGTAAAATGGATATAGTATTTGCATTACTTCATGGTGGTATGAGGAAAATGCTGAGGTAAAATGCTATGTCAATGTGAGCTGAATTTTTAAAAAATATATTTTTTTTATTTTAGGCAATTGGGGTTAAGTGACTTGCCCAGCGTCACACAACTAGTAAGTGTCAAGTGTTTGCTCTGAGGCAGGATTTGAACTCAGGTCTTCCTGACTTCAGGGCTGGTGCTCTATCAACTGCGCCACCTAGCTGTCCCAAGCTGAATTTTTAATGTAGCATATGTAGGTTCTGAGTTCACTCTGTCAGTTTGTGATAGCACTAGTAGGTCAGATCTGTAAAATTTGGCTACTTCTCACCCTGAGGGTTCTAAGGGTATATGTGTAGGTAAGTATAACCCTGAGAGTTTGCAGATATCTTCTATACCGTCAGTACAATGTATTCCTCCCAATATCAATTGCCAGTTAGCATCTCCCCTAACCCTAAATATCAATTTGTCCAGTTATCTCTTTGACATAACTGACAACCAATCTATATCTCTTCATTATCAATTAGCCAATTAACATTACTTAGGTTTAACAAAGAGATATTTATTGACAAAATGTAGCAAGGCTACCAGAACCTCTGGAATCAGGAGTTCATTTTTCTCTACCACTTCAGTCTCTAGGAAGAGGATTCAAAGTGATGACTACTAAAAATTTCTCCAAACAAATTCACTTTTGGGTGTGGCAGAGCCAATGGACAAGTCACCTCCATGCTTGCAGTACTGAGATTTCATCTGTCAAGTCAATTCATTGCTGGGTTGTCCCAGCTGCTCTCGATACCCAGTAGACTCTCCTATGAAACTTCAGTTGCTGGCCAAACAGTTGCTCTATGTATCATTCACAGCCCTTCATCATCTTGCCCACTCCTACCTTTCAAATGTTCTTATACCGGGCTCTTGGCTCTGCATTTTCTCTGATTGTTCCCTATGCCTGGAATGCTCTCCCTTCTCTGCTCCAACTACTGAACTTCCTGGCTTCTTTTAAATTCCAGCTAAAATCTCATCTTCTACAGTGCTTCTCACCAATTATTTCCCACTTATCCTGTACATAGCTTGCTTTGTAAATATTTCTTTGCTTGCTGTCTCCTTTGTTAGACTGTAAACTCCTTGGGGAAGGAACTATCTTTTGCCTGTTTTTTTGCATCCTTACTGCTTAGCACATGGTAGGGGCTTAATAAATATTGACTGATAGGACCTCTGGTGGTTCTTCTGATCTTTCAAAGCTCGCTAGGTCTTGACCTGATCAGTTCTGTCTGTGATACCCATCTACCCAAGATTAGGAAAGAAGATACATAATAGAGACAGAAGAAATGAGGCGCTGTGCTTTCATAGCCACATGACAGCCTGGGTGGAAAGATAAGGCAGCAAGCTGCCTCTCTCCTCACCTGTAGAATCTCTCCATGAGAGAGGAGTCAGGAGGGATGTGAACACTATATTTCAATATCTGAAGTGTTTTCATGTCGAAGTGCTATTCTTTTTGAATCTAGAAGTTAAAACCAGGAGCAATAGAAACAAGGTTAGGCTTGATGTCAGGAAAATCTCCCTAACAATTAACAATGTCCAAAAGTGGAATGGGATGCCTCAAGAGGTAGTGGGTCAGGGCAGCTAGGTGGTGAAGTAGATAGAGCTCTGGTCTTGGAGTCAGGAGGACCTGAGTTCAAATCCAGCCTCAGACATGATACTTACTATTTGTGTGACCCTGGGCAAGTCACTTAACTCCAATTGCCTCACCACCCCAAAAAAAGAAAAAAAGAGATAGTGGGTCCCCCTTCCCCACTGAAAGTCTTCAAGCAGAATCTGGATGACCACTTATGAAGTATCAATCAGTAAAAATGTACTATGTGCCAATCAATCACTGTGCTAAGCACTGGAGACACAGAAGTAGCCCATATATACTATGAGAATCCTTACCTCTCACTCTCACAGACAAGTCTTAGGTTCCAGAGCAAAGCAACATCTCCCACGCTGAGTGCTAGTGGAATCCCTTAGAAGTCGGAGGTGATTCTCTAAAGCCATCTGAGCTAGAACCCTCTTTGGTGTGCTTCCCAAATGATTATCAGTTGAAAATCAATTAGTCAACCTTAAGTAGCTTTTAGAAAGGCGTATTTATTAAGGTGGTATAGTAAAGAGATGATACAAAACATTCCTCCAAAAGTCTGAGAACACTTTCTCCCACAAATAAAATGTCCAGGAGAATGTGGGCTCAAGTTTAGAGCACACAGGTGGCAAAGGAGTAACTCATAACTTCTAATAGTTAAAGGTCCTTTTCTCCCAAATGTGAGGTGACCCAAAAGTTCCCCTCGAACATGGTGAATCTGTATCTAGTCTGCCTTGGCTCCTGATGAAGACATTGCCACCACCAGCTGCTGCTGTCCCTGGGTTTGGGAGTGGGTGGGGAAGGAAGGATACTAGGATGCTGGTGGAAAGGTAGGAAACCCCCAAACCTCCGGACTCTTTGCAGTTTGCAAGGTCTTCTTCTGGCCAAAGGTGGGAAAGAGAAGAGCTAAGACCAGAGCTGGTGCCTTCTTTACCCTCATCCATCAAGTAATTCCTTCTCAAGATTTTAGCTAGAATATTTCAAACCTCCTCCACTTCCTTGAACTTCTTGATACCAGCTAACTCAATGTTTTCATGTGGGATGTGGAGGGTATGATGAAAGCTCTAAGCCTGTTAGAATGGATCTCTTGTCTGGAATAATTTCATTTCATCCAATGTCTTTTTTTTTTCTTTTTGGCGAAGCAATTGGGGTTAAGTGACTTGCCCAGGGTCACACAGCTAGTAAGTGTTATGTGTCTGAGATCAGATTTGAACTCAGATCTTTCTGACTCCAAGGCCAGAGCTCTATCCACTTTGCCACCTAGTTGCCCTTTCATCCAATGTCTTTTAAAAACTTTTCATGCTTTATCTTAAGCCTATGACTGACTGACATATTCAAATGTGTTTTCACCTAGTTAAGGTATCAAGACAAAAATGGGATGGGGTGATTTCAACCTCACCTTTACAAAAAGAAAGAAAAACAGTCTCTGCCCTCAAGAAACTTACATTCTAAAAAACAAAAAAACAAACAAACAAGAAGAAACTTACATTCTAACAGGGGAAAGAACACATATAAATCAAAACACACAGCAGGTTGGGGGGTGGGGGAACACCAAGAAAGGTTGCCTGGACAAGGTGGCATCTGAGATGAGTCATAAAGGAAAATAGGTCAAAGGTTAGGAGGGAAAGTATGGGGAACACCCAGTACAAAGGGAGAAATACAGGAAACACAGTGCCCTTTGCAAGGAATAATAAGTAGACCAGATTGGCACATAGAAAGGAGTAGAAGGTAAAATGATTGGAAGGATATGAAGGGCCAAGTTGTAAAGAACTTCAAATGCCAAACAATGGACTTTATATTTGATTGTAGTAGAAACAAAGGAACCACTGGAATCTATTGAGCAAGGAGGCTACACTATAGGAAAATCACTTTGACAGTTGAGTAGTGAAGGGATTCAAGTCGGGAGAGACTTGAGGAAGAGAGTCCATAGGATACTGCAATTGCTCAGGAGAGATGTAATGAGAGCCTAAACTAGAGTGGGGACAGGTGAGAAGAGAGGATGTAGAGATAGAAACAATAACATTTGGCAATTTACTGGATACATGGGATTACAGAGAGTATTGAGTTGAGGATAATGTCAAAGTTTCAGACT